CAATTAAATATGATAACAAATAATGATCCATCAAAAGTAACATTAACATGGCAATTACCTGATGATACAAATGGAATTAAATCATTTAATATTTATTATAATGAACAACGTGAAACTGGACAAGAACAAAAAATAATTGTACCTGTTGAATTAACACAAACGACAATATCAAATTTAAAACCAAATACAAAATATTTATTTAAAATTGCTTCTGTTAATCAATTCAATGATGAATCAACACCTGAAACAAGATTATATAAAACACCTAATAGTAAAAGACTTTATTTTTATTTTTATTTCTTCTATAAATTTTTATTTATTTTTAGTTATTGATACAAAACATATCGAAGCAAATAAAGATATAAGTATGTATATCTTATCTCAAATTTTACCAGAAAAATTTATTTTGTTATTTAGATCAAAATTTATTTGGATGGCCATCAATGGGACTATCAAATAATTCTTGGCTTATTATTCTTGTTATAGTTACGATTACATTTTTATGTTTACTTTTTACTGGTATTATGCTTTGTTCAAGAACACGTTGTTGTTCTTGTATATCAAATAATAAAAAACATATACATGATTCTCCAACACATATGCATCAACGACAATATTCACCAACAAGTAATACAGCATCATCATCATTAATGAAACCAAATGATCTATGGGCTGGTGCTGATTGTTTATCACCAACAACAACAACAGTTCTTCGAACTTCGAATACTTGTGAAAGACATTATGAAACATCATCAACAGCTGGTAGTGGAACATTACAACGATGTAATCATCATAATCATCATCTTCTTTATCATCATACACAAGAAAATCAACCATTAACAAATAATATTGATACAAATATGGATCAACAACGACTTTCATATGTACCATCAAATGATGGTTCAAGTTCAGTTGATGGACATACAACAAGTGGTTTTACACTTAATGGAAAATTTAATGCAAGTATACGTACAAGACCTATTGCTGTTGGTGCATCATTTGAACAACAATCACAGAAAAAATCGATGAAAAATTTACGTATGTTTTAATGATAAATATTATTTATCAGATTAAATACATTGATCTCTCTTTTTAGCAATGGGTACTGCATTTATTATGAATCATACAAATGTAATGCAACAACAGCAACAACAACAACAACAACAACATGTTACTGTTCGACCTATTCAACAAAAAGCTCAATATGTTGTTCGACCGAATGATCAGTCACATTCGATTGGATCAGGTATGTTTCTTTTATTTTATAAAATTGAATTCAATTTTTTTATTTCTCTTCAAAGGTCCATCATCACCTGATTATCAACATTCACCATCGAATAGTCATTGCAGTTCGAATCATAATCAATCATCTATTCAATCAAATCCTTTAACAGGAACAATTGTCTATGAAAAAGTATCGAATTCAAATAATAATAATAATGAACATTCCGATAATCAACGTGCACTTCTTCTTCCATCAAAACCAAATCTACGAAGTTTTACTGTTCCTGTTGCTCCACCAATTATTCCACCACCGCCAATGTCAAATAAACAACAACCTAATATAACAGCAACAAATTCTCAATGTAAATTCTTATTATTTTTTCTTATTACTTATAATTATTCTTTATTTCTCAATAGATAAATCTCCATTTCGTAGTCCAAATCGACCCTTGTTAAATAATTATGCTAAAGAAATAAAGTCTGATGAAATTGATACAAATCCTGCCGATGTACTCGAAGATGTTCGCAATCAATTAGGCAATTTAATGAAAAAAGATTTTCAATGTTAGATATTCAACTTTTCGTTTTTTTTTCTCTCAGGGATTTGCTTGCGTTTTTTTTTTATTAAATATTGTCAATGTGGTGCTAGAAAATTAATAATGTGTTTGTTTTGCTTTTTTTTCTGTGCAACATAATCTTCTCATTTCTTGTCAGACATTTTTTTATATCTTGTACAACACTGATATAGATATATATAGTCATTTTTTTGTTTGTCTAATAATATTTACGTCTATAGAAAAAATCTTTTTTTTTTATTTTAGACGTAAAAAAATATATTATTATTTTGTTTTCTTTTTTGACGATTTTACTATTTATTTAAAATGCCTCGATATGCACAATTGGTCTTAGTAGGTTTCGAAGAATTCTTTTTATTGATGAACAGTTTGATTGAATGATATTTATAGGGACCAGCTGGTTCCGGAAAATCAACATATTGTAGTTCAATGGTTAAACATGGAGAAGTAGTTAGAAGAACAATAAATGTTGTTAATCTTGATCCGGCAGCTGAACATTTTGATTATCCAGTTTTTGCTGGTAAATTATTGTTCTTAGTAACTTGCAAATGTAGTTTGAGAATTTTATTTTATTTAGATATTAGAGAATTAATTGAAATTGATGATGCTATGGATGATCAAGCACTACGATTTGGTCCAAATGGTGGTTTGATTTTCTGTATGGAGTATGTTTTTATTGAAATATTATGAGAAAGAAAAATGTAAAATAAGAATTTTAGATATTTTGAACGAAATCTTGATTGGCTACAAGAACAGTTAGGTGAAGATGAAGATGATTATTTTTTATTTGATTGTCCTGGTAAATTTATAATTTTATATTTTTATGTTTTTTTTAATAAAATTTTTAAGGTCAAATTGAATTATATACTCATGTACCTATTATGCGTCGTCTTGTTAATCAATTACAAAATTGGAATTTTCGTGTTTGTGGTGTATTTCTTATTGATGCACAATTTTGTGTTGAACAGTCAAAATTTTTAAGTGGAATGCTCACAGCTCTATCATCAATGATTCAACTTGAAATTCCATTTATTCATGTTCTATCGAAAGTTGATGTTTTATCAAAACGTGATAAGAAACGATTGAAAAAGTAATTCTATTTTAAACAGTATTTATAAATATTTTGTTAAATTTCTAGATTCATCGATCCTGATGTATATCAATTAGCAAATTGTGAATTATCAAATAAATTTCTTGGTCGTTATAGTCAATTGAATAAAGCTATAGCTAGTGTTATATATGATTATAGTTTAGTTAAATTTTATACATTAGATATGAGTAAAGAAGATTCTATAACAAATTTATTAACAGAAATTGATTTAAGTATACAATATGGTGAAGATTTTGATGTAAAAGAACCGAAAGAAATTGAAGCTAATGAACAAGATGAATTTCATGATGATGATGATTCATAATTCTATATATACATATATTTTTGTTTTTTGTTATATTTTTGTTTTTTTTTGTACAAAAAAAGAATAAAGTAAAAGAAAAATCTTATTACGAAAAATATAAATACGTCATTGGCTGATGAAAGAAAGAAAAAAAAGAAGAAGAAGAGAACGAATGTTATTGCACCATAGCAAATGAAATCACTTAATAAACATTTCATCATATGGCCCGTTTGTTTTTCTTTTTACTTTTAGATTAAGAAATAAAATATAGTCATGTCGAGTAAGGCATGTAAATGTGGTGGAACAGAGATCGATACGGATCGAGCACGAGGTGTAAGTGTATGTACAAAATGTGGAGAAGTTATTGAAGATACATGTATTGTTAATGAAGCTGAATTAACTGAAACAAGTGGTGGTGGTATACAAGTTATTGGACAATGGCTTTCCAATGATGATGTTCGAGGTGCAAGTACGGGTGGTATGATGGGTTTTAATGTTCGAGAATCAAGACAAATAACATTACAAAAAGCTCGTCGTGGTATAATGGATATTGCAAGTAATATGCGTATGAATCATCATTGTATTGATGCAGCTTTTAAGGTATATATTTTTAAAAAAAGAACAATTAAATTTATTTTAAAATAATTTTTTATTTAGATCTATAAAATGGCACTTGATCATAATTTATCTCGTGGAAATAAAGCTAGTCATCTTCTTTCTGCTTGTTTATATATTATTTGTCGAACGGAAGGTACACAACATATTTTACTTGATTTTTGTGATCATGTGGATGCAGATATTAGTGTTCTGGCACGTATCTATTTACGATTAGCACGTGAATTGTGTATCAATGTTCCACATACAGATCCATCATTACTTATACCACGTTATGCAGCTAAACTTGAATTTGGTGATCGAACAAATGCAGTTTCTAATACAGCTCTACGTATTGTTCAACGTATGAAACGTGATTGGCTTAATATTGGTCGTCGTTCATCTGGCCTTTGTGGTTCAGCTTTATTATTTGCTGCACGTATGCATAATTTTAATCGTACAATTCAACAAATTGTTGATGTTGTAAAAATATCTAAAGCAACAATAATACGACGTTTACAAGAATTTGAAACAACACCAACAGCACAATTAAATATGAAAGAATTCGATACAATTGAACTTGAAGAAGAACAAGATCCACCCGCTTTTTCTAAAGCTAAACGTATGACTAAACTTGCTCAACATGAAGAATCATTTAATATTGAACAAATTGAACGTGAAATAATTGATACACAAAAACAAATTGATGAACAACTAGAAAAATTACATAAGCCACGTGGTCAATTAGCTAAGTAAGTTAATCAATTGTGTTTTATTAAGAAAAATATTTGAATTTTTATTTTTAGATATGCTAAATATGTTGATTTAGAAAAAACAGTTTTAACTAATGAAGAAGATGAATTAATTCAGAAAGTTTTAACAAATAAAGCAACGAAACGAAAACTTTCTATTGATGATGATGGTGATGATGATAATAATGGAAGTCCATCTACATTGACCACAGCAGAAATAGAGCCAGTACCTATCAATGAGAATGATATGAAATGGGCAGCTAATTATATTGAAGAACAACAAACACAATTGATTCTTTCTTTACTTGATGACATTCCAAAACCAATAGTTAATACTAATGAAGATGGTGATGAAGATGATGATAACGAAGAAAAACATAAAGAAAGTGATTATAAATCTCTTAGACCATCATTAGAAACTATGGGCATTGGTAAGTTACTCGTTCTATATATGTATTTGTTGTTTATTATTTTTAATATTCTATTCAGTACCAGTAACAACATCATTAAATTATGCAACAGATAATTTTAATGCAACTACAACAAATACAACTCGTCATCATCATGTTGTATTAGATCTTCCTGAATGGCATCCATCAATTGATTTAGCGAATGAAGAACTTGATTTAACCGGTATTGATGATAATGAAATTGAAGAAATGATATTAACACGTGATGAAACAAAATTAAAACTTAAATCTTGGTTACGTGAAAATAAAGATTGGTTTTTAGAAGAAAAACGGCGTCAACGTAATAAAGAAGCTGCTGAACAAAAGAAAGCTGGTTCAAGTGGAATGACGGCAGCACAACGACGAAGACGTAAGAAAAAAGCTGCAGCAGCAACTGCAGCAACGAATGAGATTAATAGAGTAGCAAACAGTACTACTAGTCATCATCATCAATTAGCTGGTTTTAATTCATTGACACCAGCTGGTTTAGCTGCTGCTGCTCATTCAGCACTTGAAGCTGAGAAACATTCCCAAGATAAACGTGTATCAACTAAAATTAATTATGATGTATTAAAGAGATTGACAATGAAAAAAGATGGAACAGAACAAGTATCAACATCACCAGCAATGATAAATACAAATGAATCGGAAAGAACTACTTAAAATTTATTTTGTTCATTTTTGTTTTTTTTTATTGTTGTTATTCGTTTCGTATTTCTAGACAATAATGATTTCGTTTTGTTTCGTTTACAAATATAAGATTGTACAAAAAATGACTAGAATTATTTCAATATCAAACATTTGAATTTCAAAAGAACCTTTTGGGATAAATGTTAAAACGAATACATATACTTTAGTTATTCATCGTCGTCTTGAGGGGCGTGGGTATGAGTGTGAGTAATACTGGTTGCTTTATTTATATCCACATCAAACTAGTCCACACTCATAGAAAAATTTTTTTAAATGAGTTTTAATTGTTACGCAGATTAATTTGCTGCACAAATTGTTGTTCACATATATAAAGTACGGATAACGATAATGATTCAACAAAAAAAATCTTTATCAACAATAGGGTTGATTAGTAAGAAATTTTAGTTGAACATTTGCTACCAGCATACATGCGTAAATGCCATGATTTTAATGCGTATGTGTGTTTTCATCTAGTGCTAATTTACGATGTTATAAAAAAAACCAGGACTACGTTCACAGAGTGGCGGAACAAATTAATTGATTCAATATTTTTGTTTTGACGTAAAGAGAAAAATTATGGTGTACGAGTAGAAATGAATAAATACTGTCTACTTTGTTCATTTTACTAAACAGTTAAAACAATGATGTCTTTCATCAGTTTAGTCTGTTTTATACTCTTACCTTCGATAAATCCTCAACTTCAAATCAATCTTCATTTAACCGATTGGACAAATTATGATGAAATAAATGTTGATTTGCAACATGATTGTCTTCATGTTCCTACTCATTTGATTGAAGATAATATTCAATATCATCAAGTCATTTCATATTGTATGGGTGAAAGGCCTTCAAAATGGAACATAGAAGAAAACAGTTTTGATCAAAATTACAGTTTTTCTCAACTTAAAATGCTTAATATTACTAGTCAACAATTATATCTTTGGTCAGCTCCTGTGGATATTGTTGAAGAATATGAATCCTATTTGAATCAAAGTTTATTTTCAAATCAATCATTAGCATTAATGGCAACACAATTATTCTATAATTGTACACAATCAAGATTTGGATCTGTATGTCAATATTCATTAGATATTTCGACTTCTTCTGTTGCTTCATCACTGAAAGAAATCATTCATGATTTTTATTTGCAAGAATATGAACCAACGACTTGGACATGTTATACTCATTTAGAATGTAATCGTGGTACAAGTACAGCTTGTCTTGATTGGACTGAGATTTGTAATGGTCATATCGATTGTCTCAATGACGGAATTGACGAAAAACACTGTTGACAACTTGAAATCAATAATTGTGAAGAAAATGAATATCGATGTAACAATGGACAATGTATATCGAAGATATTTTATCATGAAGGTCCAAACTCTTTCGATTGTATTGATACAACTGATGAAGGCGACCAAGGGCGCGAAGATATTCGTTATCGTTCACAAGAACCAATATTTAGATTCGAAGATATTACACGCGAAAAAGATCTGCGAGGGGAGACGGAGATGTATTTTACTACTTCACGTGTACTTAGTCGAAATGATCTTATTTTAGAAGACATGTTTTTGAACAAACCAAATTCAACATCTGATGAATGTTGGCTTGCATATAGATGCCAATTTAGCATTCCTCGTTATGATGGTCCATTATGTGGCAATATGTGCAGTAAGAATGGAATATGTCAAGAAATTATCAATAAAACGTGTCCTGATATATTGTTTATTCCAAATGCTCCATTATTATTTGGACATATTCATTTCGCTTACACAAAAGAAGATGCAGTACAGGCACCTGGTATAATTTTTCCACCACCGTACGTATGTTATAATGATCAATTATGCGATGGATTTTACACAAATAGAACATTATTAACGTTTAAGAATCTAACATGTCGTCGTCCTGGTGATTTTCCATTCAAATTTCCTCCTCTTGGAAGAAACGATTGGTTAAAGGCATATGTTAAACCACTTTACAAAGAACTCTATAAATGCAATACAATTATTCATAATATTTCTGCAGTTTGTGACAATTCAATGATGTATCGATGTATTAACTCGTCTAAATGTATTTCAAAAGATCGTATTGATGATGATTTCATAGATTGCGATTATGGAGATGATGAAGATCCAAGTGTAGTCTACGATATTTGTTTAAAAAATGAATCTAAAACGTTTTTCAAATGTACAACAACAACTCGATGTATTCATTATCAAAAAGTAGACGATGGTAAATGTCATTGCGGACGTAATGAATATGGTTTGTGTGATGACGAAGATAGAACATTTCGATATATAACATCACATTTATCATTTCAAACTATTTGTGATGGTTTTACCGAACTTATTCCTGTTAATATTAATGGACAGAATGAAACGGATGAAACTGAATGTGAACTATGGCAATGTAATAATATGTATACTCGATGCGATGGCATTTGGAATTGTTTTAATGGAGCTGATGAAGTTCATTGTAATACATCCGTATCATTCAGTTGCCCATCCAATCATCATATATGTGTTTCGCCTAGTACGAACCAACTTACATGTTTATCTCTTGCAAAGGCGAACAATGGTATTATCGATTGTTTGGGTGCCACCGATGAGCCAAAATTATGTCGATCAACCGATTATGTTCACAGCAAAGAAACTTTTTACTGTTTCAATGATAGCTCTTCACCTTGCAGAGTATCTTCAGATCTTTGTGACGGAAACAAAAACTGCATCAATGGAGATGACGAACGGCTTTGTTCTTCGACACGAAATTTTTCCGCTTATACTAGTATTTGTCAACCTAAGTATTACGCATTCCGTTCTGATGTCGAAAAATTTCTTTGTGAACGCTTTACCATTTGGAATAAAACATTAGCTGTACATTTTTCATTGGATACGATCAAATTCGACAAAGTCAAAAACATAATACACTCAATTCCGCCTGCCATGAAATCTATTATTCATCATCACCAATACCGTTGTCATCGTGGTCTTCCTTTGCGTATCTGGCAAAATCGAGAGAAGAACTTGACTGATATCACCTGTCTTTGTCCACCAAGCTTTTATGGTAACATTTGTCAATATCAAAACCAACGAGTTAGTCTAACTATGAGATTTCAAGCATATTCGGATTCTCGACGGACATTATTGGCTCTTGTAATTACACTTATCGATAATAGTGACGAACGAATTATTCATTCACATGAACAACTCACTTATTTGTACGTTGAAGATTGCCAAAAGAAATTTAACGTTTATCTACTTTATTCTACTCGACCAAAAAATGATACGCAAAATTATTCGATACATATTGACATTTATGACAAGATTTTATTAACTTATCGAGGAAGTTTATTAATACCAATTAAATTTCCTTTTTTACCTGTACATCGTATTGCTGTTCATCTTAATATTCCACGTATAAATGCCGATATTCAAAGTTGTACAAATCAAACATGTATACATGGCCAATGTACGATATATTCAGAAGATTCAAAAGGCACTCCATTTTGTCATTGTAATGAACGATGGTCTGGAAAACACTGTACTATACCATATACTTGTAAATGCTCATCTGATTCATTATGTGCTGGTATATTAGCTAACAATCGATCTATTTGTATTTGTCCTATAAACAAATTTGGTCCTCGATGTTTATTTAATCATACAGTTTGTCAGTCTAATCAAAATAATACATGTAATAATGGTGGCGTATGTATACCTATAGATGAATATATGCAAGTAGATGATAAGAAATTCTTTTGCATATGTGCGAAAGGTTTTACTGGCGGACGATGTGAAATACCTGATAACAAAATGATACTATCATTCCATAAACATATTCAATTATCACAAACATTGATAATTCATTTTATTAAAATCATTAGCAATAGTTCTCCTAAGAACAGCAGTACTCTCATTAGGATTCCTATTCATCGAAAGACAGCTATTATTAACTGGACAAATGAATTTCATATTGCTTTTGTTCAACTTTTCGATAAAGATTTTTATCTAATTACTGTTCAAAAAAGAAACAATCTATCATCGATATTTGAAAAAACAATCAATCCATCGGATCGCTGTAAACATATAAGTGAAGTATTGAATGAAACGATCGTTCGATTACAACCTATTCGTCGTATTAAATATTATCATGTGCCATGCCATCAATCATCACCATCTTTACCTTGTTTTTTTGATGATAATCATTTTTGTTTATGCACTGATTTTAATCATCAACGGATCGCCAATT